GCCCCGTTAGTGCCTGGTGCTGCCAGTCTGTGGCTTGCTGGGAGTAGCTACTGCAAAAATGTGTAGATGAGCTTTTAATCGTTGTATCTCTTCACACGCCATCTCTCAGGGACCTTTAGAAAGGACTGATGCTGAGGTACCCTTTCCCTATGGGGAAGGCATCAGGGAATTATAGAAGTGCCCGTATTTACGTGGGTGGGTGGGTTGGGTGGTTGTTTTCTGAGTGAAACGTCATGATGAAATTCTGCTTGCATTTTGTCATGGGAGTTTTTTCTTTCAGTACTTCAATACCTTAGAGAACAGCCTCGTGAATCTCTTCGTGCTTTTGACCACTTCTAAGTAAGTTCATGCTTTGCTAGCTCAGTCTTTCGCTTTGTCCCCAGAGAAGTCTAGCAGAGCCCAGAGTTCATTTGCAGAAATGCTCTGTCTTCAAATGTGACCCCTTTCCTCTGCGTGTGAGAGAGGTTTCCTGGGTCAGCCTGCATGGGAAGAACTGGTATTTCGTTTTGTTTTAGGGCACTGTGACCTCAGATGCAGAGTTATCTCTAAGCAACTCAGACCACTTCATCACTGTGAGGGCAATAAGGGGGGAAACGGCCTTATTAGGCCTTGGTCCAAGAAGGGAAAGTTTCTGTTTGTGCTCCTTTGTCAGCCAACAGTTTGCTGTTGTGAAGTAACTTCCTATTCCTCTGCTTTGGTTCACCTATCTGCTCTGAAAGGGGGATAACAACAGTGGGTAAATATTGATCTGCTGTCAGGGAGAGCTCTGAGGATTAGGAAATTAGCAAAGGATGGAATAAATCTTAGGTTGTAACACTCTAGCACCAAGGCTGTATTGCTGTCGTTGCTAAGTATGCAAGCACAACCCTTAGCCACATTACAAATCCCCTTTGCCCATTTGGTTTTTGGGATGTCCAAGGCATGTGCTTTTCACATTTATTTTGTTCACCATGCCCCCATGTTCTTGCTGCTCGTTGCTGGGTGCAAACTTCTGTGTCATGAGCAGCCACGTGATTTGCAGAAATGTGCAGATCTATGGAAGTGGGTTTACACACCCCTCCCCGGTGTCCTGTGCTCTTGCCTTTGTAGTGGGAACTGTAGCATGAGCTGTTTGGTGCTTAAACTTGTGTCTTTTTCGGGTGCAGTTTCCCTGATGTGATGATGCCATCTTACGCCCGGAACCCCTGGTCCTGTGTCTTCTTCATAGTGTATCTCTCCATTGAGCTGTACTTCATCATGAACTTGGTGAGTCCCCTGTTGAAGCACTTGACTCCTCTCTGCCTGACTTTGGAGTTCATTGCCCAGCGGAGTCTTGCCCGTTCCCAAGAGTCCTCTGTAATAATCTTTTGGCAGAATACTTCTAGAAATGGCAGCGTTGCTACACATAGGAGTCTTTTAATGTTTAACCACAAAGAGCTGAACTAAATCACAGGGAACAGAATGATATGAGTATCTTTCAACTTCTCTCACATTAATATCAGGCTTGGAGTGACCTACTCAGTTGCATGCAATTTATTGTCCTTGTCTGTCTTAATTATTTCTCATAAAATGGCATTTTATTATCTGGGCTTGCCTAAAATACTTTGTAAATCAGTTTGAAGGGGATGGAATTACCAAGTATGGCAGGACTTGAAGAGTGCTGATAACTGCAGTGTGAGAGCATGGCTGCTGTGCTGGCTCTGCTTCTTGCAGCATCTAGGGCAGGGCCAAGGCCAGCTCAGGTGAGGGTGTGAGGAGTGGAAAAGGGATTGTCAAAGGACATGAGGAGTTCTGCAGCCCAAGGTGAGTGATCTGATGCTTGTAGTGGGCTTGGATTTTACCACTGCTGTCCTAGATGGAGGGTTAGTTTTAATACGTGTTTGCCAAAGCTCCCATGGAAGGGTGAATCCAGAAAGCAGCCCTCAAAACCTGCTTTCCAGGAAGAGATTAGGGCATTTTAACAAAGCTTTTGGTACTGTTTTCTGTTGGCATGTGTGGGGTTTAGCCTTAGCTCTTAAAACCACTAGTGAGTGTCAGGAGGCCAGAAACACCTGGACCTCTTCCAAAAAGTGGAACAGTGTGTGTGTGGTGTGCTTGGTGACCCCTTTGTGGGATCCCTTATGGCCAACAGGCCCTCGCTGACTCCGTTCTGCCTCAGTCCACGTAGCGCTTAATAAATCCCTCCTGCAGCCGACGCCTCTCCTGGCGTCTCGATGTTCCTGCCTGTTCGAGAAGCACTGGCTCAGGTAGCCGCAGAGTGTAAGGGTGTCTCCTGTCTTCTCTCTGCAGCTTCTCGCTGTTGTGTTCGACACCTTCAATGACATCGAGAAGAGGAAGTTTAAGTCCTTGCTGCTGCACAAGCGCACGGCCATCCAGCACGCCTACCGCTTGCTGATCACCAGACAGGTATGGGGCCCTGCAGGGAGGCTCCGAACAGCCTGGGGTGCGGCAGGAGGGGAGGGCAGCCATGTTCTGAGAACACCAGTGGTCTGGAGCGTTTAAAGAGCGTGTTGCAGAAAAGATGATTTGTGTCTGTTGATTGTAATCATGCTGACCAAGGACTATGTGTTTTGGTTTTTTTTTCATTTGTGTAACTTGTTTGTATCTGTTTCTGGAGGAAAACCAAAGTAGTCTGAATTTCAGTGCCGTGCAATGTTATGGAAGTGTCTTAGTAAAATGAGTGAAGTTTGTTGGACAGCATGCAATCATTGGTTTCTCTCTGGTTCAGTGTGGGTCACTTGAGGACTTGCTTCTCAAACACCAGTACTTAGAGGAGGGGTGGATTATACGTGTGGAGGTACAGTACCATTGCTGCGTACCGCATGAGTAAATAGTGCAGAAACAGGAGTAATTTGCCTACAAATAACTCTTTACGGGGACAGAGCACTGGGAGAGAGTGTTGATTTCTTGCTTAACTTGTGGAGCCGAATGAGAAATAAGGCCCAAAATAACTAACCCACTTCTAATAGGTGAGTTCATGTTTAGGGCACATCCGTTATAGGAACAGGTCCTGAGGAATAGCTGATAGTCTTAAAAAAGCACCAGTAATGGGATCTGTTAGGTGGTCTACTAATTTCCCAGGAGGAGTGGCTGAACTCCGTCACTTGGGGTGCCTGGCTGGACAATTTTCACATGACAGGGCAACAGGGAAACAGCTCTGCATTTGCTGGAGGGACCAACTGCTGGGAGAGCTTTCTGATCTCTGTGCTCTGGCTCTGGGATAAGCTCAGTACGTTAAAGTAATAGCTTAGGGTACTTGTGGGGCTCAGTTATAATGACATCTTACGATAATGTAGAAATTCTGCTTAAAACAAATCCACAGCGAGAATTAAATGCGCTAGCTTCTGTGTGCTTTTGCCTGATGTCGCTGCTTATGACAACATTCCCTTGTTTCTAGAGGCCGTCTGGAATTTCCTTCAAGCACTTTGAAGGGCTGTTGCGGTTTTACAAGCCTCGGATGTGTGCCAGAGAGCGATATCTCACTTTCAAAGCACTGAATCAAAGCAATACTCCTTTAGTCAGGTAGGATGGATGGTCTTACTGCTGCGCCCAGAGCAGGGAGGTTGCTTTGCTCTCTGAAGCTAGGCTGTACTCGAGAGAGGATGGCTGGGTTTACGGAAGGAAGCTTGTCTGGGATGTGGGAATAGAGTTATGCGATGGAAAGGATCTGTGTGGGAAGCAGGGAGCTTGGCGGGGTGGATACCCTGAGAGCTGAGGTTTTCCCGTGGAGGTGATGGAGTTCTGCGTGCCCTCTTGTGGATACAGCTGCTGGCAGTCACCAGGCAGCCTCTGCTTCCACCTCCCCTGCCAGAACTCAGGAGCGAGAAATTGAGGAACGGCGTTAGAGCCTGCAAGGAGCATTTCTTCACACAGCGCGGCCTCGCAGCTTAACAAGTTTTTTGTTTTTTTCCAGCAGCTGGCTGTGTCCCCCAGGGTTTTGTTAATTAAAATCTGGTTCTGCTGGTGGTTTCAGGACTGTCATCCTCTGTGTTATGAGGCAGAGAATTGCCATTCTGGCGGGTGGGTGCGGCTAACTCCAGCCAGCATGGCAGTAGAGGGAATCAGAGCAGGAGGCCTTCCTTCCTTTTTCCTTTGTTCTGGCCACAGGCAGGCTCAGAGTGAATCTCCGATGAAACTGGTGCTGCTGCTTCTGCTCAGAGTCAAGTGCCACAGAGAAGTATTGAAAATGGCAAAGGGAGAAAGACTGAGTTCTGAAATTTAGGCACCTAGTGACACCAGTAAGAGTCTGAGAAGTTCAGCATCTTCGCTTTCAGACAGCTAAAAGCTGTTCTAGGCCTGACCCTGAGCAGCTAGACAGGCACTCGTGTTGTATGAGTTTCTTTGCTTTTGTGTCCTGTTTCAGATTTCATTGTTACCTTCAAAAGAAGATGTGCAAAGACATTAGAAAAGGACTGTACGAGTAATTAAGACAGTCCAAGACTTCTTCATGAAGAGTAGTACAATCTCTCTGCCTTGGAGTTTGCTGTCTAAGCCTCAGGTCTTTCCTCTCAGTGGTAAAATTCTGGAGTTCAGAAGAGTCAGAGTCTCCTCTAAGGGCTGTAGCATTACAGAAAGAAGGTAGGCTTTGCCAGGCTGGGAACAGGTCAGTGCTGAGTTACATCAGCTGTGGTTGTGGTTCTAATAAGGAGTTAATAACTTCCAGGGACTCTCTGCTGATGATGCCTGACAAGGACAATTAAGGAGCTAATCAACTCCAAGGCTCTGATCGGATGCTTCTTTCTGTTTTGCAGTCTAAAGGATTTTTACAATTTCTATGAAGTTGTTGGCTTAAAATGGAAGGTGCGTATTTATTGGGTGGAGAAGAGGGGAAGGATGTGTGGGAGGGGGAGCAAAGGAGGCCAGTGATTAAAGAGAGGGTGAGCAAGAAACAAAGGCAATCTAAAAGAAGCGGATGATGGGGATAAGGCGGGTCTCCATCACTGCACGTTTTTGTAGGGATGTGGCATTGGCTACTTCTGATCGTGGCTGTTCCGCTTCCAGGCAAAACGAAATCGGAACTTCCACGGACGGCATTCGTTATTTTCAAAGGTATCTGCTGTGTTTTCGTGACGGCATGTGTTTGACTAACAGAAGGAACGCTCCTTTACAAAGACAGGGCCCTCTGAAGGGACCTTCGCTTATGTCCCTGGTAAGCAGCTGAGGGAAGGCCTATGAACAAACTCACTGCATATTCAGAGCCTCCAAGGCCAGAGCCCTCGGAGTCTCCAAGGAAGACTTCTGTCATGTAAATATTCCCCGTGCTCTGACCCAAACCTTGGCTTCCTTAAAATAAGAGACTTCTTGGCAGAAGCTTTGTAGTGAACCAGACCCTGAGATCATGGGGGGCTATTCCTTTTTCAGCAGAGAGGTTAGGTGAGAGTTTATGATTGCTGAATCTAGTGGAGTTTATGGAGTTTCTCCATATCCCAGGCGGCAAGTGTGGCGTGGGATTTGTGCTTTCACTAAAACTGCTAGGCTTCCTAGTCCCAAGATGTGGTTGTAGGGCTTGTACGGGTCAAGTGCAGCGGCTTGGGAAGGGGGAAGAGGTCTGAAATACCCATCAGTGTAATCAGTCTTGCAAACGCATTTTATCTCCCATCTCCCAAGTTTCCCGACTGCATGTAGCCATTCAGAAATAGGAACTTATCTGCCATTCTTTTGCAGTGTTGTATGCTAGTGGGAAACAGTTAACACCATCTTGATCCAAACACACAGCTGCCATAGGAGTCCTACGCATACCTCTGCCGATGGACCCAGCCCTCCTTGACAGCTTGTGTGTTGTCCCAAACACAGGCAGTGCTTCAGCAGCTGCATTTTACTTATATCCACACCACAGAACTAGTACATAGAGGGGAAAAAAAGAAAAAAGGCCTCTCAGGGGTTAAGGATAGTGAGTTCATTGCTGCTAAAATTCTAGAGGGATTTTGGACTTGGTCCCGAGAAGTAAAAGTTAATAATCTGCTAATCTGTTTAGCTTCTGTGCTGAGGATTGGTATGAAAAATGTCTCTAAGGAGAAGACAGAGGAATCTGTGAGTGAGGTATGGAGGATCGCGTAAACATTTGTTTTGTCATACTCTCCTTCATGCAGGCATCAACATCCTTGTGAAGTCCCGCGTGTTCCAATACACCATGTGTAAGTAGAAGGAGCGAGCCGTCTCTCTGCTAGGCTCCCTTGGTCCCCTGGGTCTGGTACGCTGTGTCTGCCACCCCTCCCAGGCAGTGGTGGGGCCTGGTCTTTGGCCTGAGCTGTGGATTGTGTACAAATTCTGGAGTTTTGGCAGAGGGAGGGAATGCGTACCGACCACCACTGCGGCCTGGACTTGCAGCTCTCGCTGTGTCGAGTCTTCTGGAGAGGCTCACTGGTTCCTTGCTTCGTGGCTCTGATTCTGTAGGAACCAGCTTGTTGCGTTTCGGTAGGTCGGTGGTTAGCTTTCACAAGCCTTGAGGTGTTTATCTTGCAGCTGAAGGATGCTGGGTAAGGAACTGCCTTGACAGTCAACCACCTTCTTCTGTCTGCACTTGAGAAGGTGCAAGCATCCTCGCTGCTGGAGGGATTGCTTGGCAACTGCGAGAGTGAATCTGTGCTCCTCTCCTCTAGAGGAGAAAGAGTGCTTACTCGTGGTGCTACTTGCTGTGTTCTAAATGTTGTGTTCCTACTCAGAAATCTTGGGGTTTTCTGACTGTTGGAGGAGAAGCTGTTTGTAAATTGGGCTGCTAAATTAAAGAGGGTGGGCTGGGGTGGAGAGAGGAGATCTGAGTGAAAAGTAGAAGTCCTGCACCTTCAGTTCTCAGGATTTGAATGCTGGGGAACAGCGATAGATCCAAGGTGACGGGGCTTTGCCCTGCACTGTTGGGGCCCCAGTGGTTCTCCAGAACTAGGGGGAAGCTGGAATACGCAGGTAATAACATGGCAGAACATAAGACAATTGCAAGTAAAAATGATCCAGCATGATGCAGACCATTTTTTTGTTTTAGTTTTGTTTCCTTCTCAAGATGAAGGTACTGCATTTGTTAAAGGCCTGGGAAAAGTCAGGGTAGAAGACACTGCCAAGTAACGAGTTCAGTTTGTTTGTTTGAATTGGAAATAATGGCCCTACCACTTGTGCTGTATTGTGCTCTTTTTGTTAGCCTGGGAAATGGATGTCCTCTGCTCCGGGAGTGGTTTTGCTATGGGTTTTTGCTTTGTTTTCCAGATACCGTGGTGGCTGTGAATGGAATTTGGATTCTTGTTGAAACCTTCATGCTGCAAGGTAGGAAACATCGCAGCTTGTTTCTTGACTATGGTGCTGGGAGACTGAAGAAAGGGAAGGCTAGAAAAAGTTCTTCTTGTGTCTTGCAGGAGGGAATTTCTTCTCCAGAAACGTCCCATGGAGCTACATAGTCTTCCTCACAAGTAAGTGGATGCCTCCCAACAGAGCTGTGTCATTTCATAAGGAGTCGGAAGGGCAATAGACAGCTCTGTTCCCAGAAGAGTAGTCAGTCTGAAGTTAAAACTTAGGCAGGGGTGTACAGACTCCATCTAGAACAATGCTGTGCCTGGCCGGGGTTGTCAGCATCCACACAGACCTGTGTGAACACTGCTGCTGTTACACAGCTCCCTGTGCCGCTGCAGTCTGGAGAGCCTCTCGCCTCTGGCACAACAGTCTGAAAAAGTGGCTGTATCGCCCTTAAAGCTGGCTTCAGCCCTGGGAGCAGAATGGCCTCGTTTGTTCGGCACAGCGTGCAGAGTGATAAGCTCCTCCAGATTCGTGATGGCTCTGTGTGGGGCTGCTCGTGTTGATCTGCGCTGGCTATTCCAGGAGGCATTACCAGCTCTGATCTGATTGCAGCTGCGGGCTGGCTGTCGGCCACATGAAGCGAGGCAGTCTTGGTGCAGTACAGAGCGCAGGGGCATGCTGAGGAGAAGACTGAAAGGACTAGATGAACTAGCTGACGGGCTGAGTTTCCTCACTGAACGTGTACCTTAGTCTTCCTTTTCACCCCAAGTGTAAGCAATTGCATCTTCATGAGCTGGTTCATTGCACTGCCACGGAACTCTCCAGTGATGTGAATTCACTTCCCTTCTCCTGCCAGTGTCTCTTGCTCAAGAATAAGCAAAGTATAGCTCCAATGAATCAAAATAGTGTGTAAAACTGCAGCAGGAGGTTCTCTGGAGAACCTGGGAGAGGTTGCTAACCTGTTGTTTGGCTGCTGGGTAGCTCTAGTGCTTCCCTGGCCATTAGTCTGCAAAACACTTGTCACGAAAGTTTGAAGGCAGAGGCACTCTGCAGCACTTCTTTTCACGAGGATGTTGTCATCCAGCTCTTCGCTTCTCCCCCACTGCCCCTCCTTGGAACCTGGGAAGAAGGATTTGGGGATGACAAGCAGGGCATCATCATGTTATTATGGTGTTCTTTAACGTACAGGCTCACAGATTGCTGCCAGGACAGAGGGTGAAAGTGGATGGCTCCCCTTTGAAAGGATCTCTCCCTGCAGGTCAAGGCTGGGCTGTGGGATGTGGATACGTTCCCCTGAGACAGAAGGAAAGAAACCAGCAGGACTGAATTCCCTGAACCACTCCCTGACCTTTCCTGCAGGAGCTTGTGCCTCAACATTTATAGCTTGGTAGTCAACAAATTATTTTGTAGACTGCTCTGGAGAGAAGTCACCATGAATACAAGAATATGTGTTGATTTGGAGGGAAAAATCTTTCTTTGGCATCTGACCAAGAATAGGGAGGACGGGTGGGGGGCTGTTAAACCTGTGTTCAGAACTCCTGTACTTGAAGCAGCACACATCTTTGAGGGCAAGCCTTTGCATAAGCTGTCCTCATGATGCTGCTTATTTCTGACCGTAGCTGTCATCTTGTTTTACAGTCTATGGTGTGGAGCTACTCCTGAAGACCACTGGACTGGGGCCCGTCGAGTACCTGTCCTCAGGCTGGAATCTGTAAGTGTGCACTGATGGTTTTGAGAGATATGGTGAAAATTGTTGGGTTAGAAAGACCAACTGCTGAGTTTTTAGGCCTGTAGACAAGGCCATCAGCAGGCTATTTGTCTGCCCTTGGCCTTGTGTATCTTGTTCAGCTGGAGCAGCACCAAGTACATCTTCTCTGCTGAAGCACTGGTGATAAATCATTGCTTATATCTTTTTTTGTTTTTTCTTTCCAGCTTTGACTTCTCAGTGACCCTGTTTGCATTTTTGGGGCTCATGGCACTGGCATTTAACATGGAGCCATTCTACTTCATTGTGGTCTTGCGACCCCTTCAGCTCCTGAGGTGAGCCGGGAAGGTGGGGAAGGAAACAGCCAGGCTTGTTATCCATCAGTCCCGTCGGGGACCGAGCTCCTTACCAGGAGAGGGCAAGGATTGCTCTGTGGGTACGTGACCACGGCAAACAGGAATCGCGTGGGGTAATGAGATTAGCCCGAGTTATCAAAATGAATGATAACAAAAACTTGGGATGGGATGTGAAACCCCGTGCTTTGGAGCTTAAGCTGATCTCTAATAGAGATCAAGGGATTTACCGGGGGCAGATTATCCTTTGTCTGCCTTCGTGGGGTTCTTACACCTCCTCTAAATTGTCTGATGCTGTTCAGAGAAAAGCTCTTCTGTCAGGGTGAGAGAGTCTGAGCCAGTTTAATAATTTCCATTGAATTACCAGAAATTACAGTTTTCAAAGGCTGCTGCTTTCTAGGGTGAAGTACAGCCCTGCTCTAACTGCGTCTCCCATTTTGAGCAGGGCTGCGGCCTGTAACCTCTCTGCAGCTCAGTCAGATGCGTTGGATTAACCCTCTCGTTTCAAGGCTGTGATGGAGGTACATCCACCTTCGCAGGAGGCGTTGAGAGCCACAGGGGAAGGCAGGCATTGGAGGCAAAATGTTGTTTTGTGAAAAACAAGCTAATGTAATTTAGCTCTTCAGTGAGGATTTAAAGAACACTTTGTGACACTCAAGGGGGGAAAAAAAAAATAATGTTTTCTCTGTTGCTCCCCTGCCAAAGCCTGTGTTTGGCAGCTGTGTTTTCTCTGTAAAGGCTGATGGAGTTGCCAAATCTTAAATTAGCAGGCACAATGTAGTTTTCTTCCATCAATTTTTATTGAGTCATGGGAGAAACACAGAAACGCCTGTGTCTGAGGAAAGGGGTAATGAATCCTTACCCTGTACACAGGGCTTATGATTTTTATTTTTTTTTAAATAGCTATCTCTGCTTCACGCTCTGTAGAACGATGTAGACTTTTCATTGAGATTCCTCAGTCCTGTGAACACTTAGCTGAATGTGTCATAAACATTCAGATGGGACAGCGGGATGTTGTTAGGTGAGCAGAGACCGCTTGAGCAAGAGCAGATCCTGTGAGCATGGTGTCGGGAAACCTTGCTGCTCATTGACCTGGGAGGTCCAGAGAACTGTGGTGCCCTCTTTAACTACTTCCAGCAACACCGGGAAAGCTGCAGCACATGGGTAACTACTGGCTTCTCCTTTCAGGCTATTTAAATTGAAGAAACGCTACAGAAATGTCCTGGACACCATGTTTGAGTTGTTCCCCCGGATGGCCAGGTACTAACTGTGCTTCTCCTTGGGTGATGGTGAGGAGAGCGGAGTGGAGGTTTAGTGTCTGGGACTGGGGTCAGGCTGGGGACCTGTCAGACCTGCTATAGCTGTTTATGCTCTGATCTGTCAACAGATTGTTACTGATTCTGCAGTGTGCTGCCGTGGGTTGTTAATCTTCCAAATTCTTAGAGCAGTGTGCGATAAGCAACACTCCAGCACCCTGGGCCACCTCCTACTTTTGCGTTAGGAGGAGAACTAAGAGTTGTTTAAGTTTTCTCCCCCATCCCAGCTTCTGATGAGAGGGGAGGCCCATTTGGCAGGAACTTTGGCGTGAATGTACTCAGCCCCAGATGCTTCCCTGTCCTTAGTACAGCCACTTGAGAGCGTTATTGCGAAATGGTGGGGCAGAAGGAGCTTGGGGTTTGAGTGGGACATCCTCAGACCTTACTCCCTTGAAGGAGCAGAGAACCCTGCTCTTGGCACAGTCCCTGCGTCCCAGGACATGGAGAGGGCAGAAGCAGTGTGTGGTGTTCTTTATTAAAGAAACTGTGGAGAGACGTTTGTTTACCAGAAAAAGGCAGACTGGGAGCGAATCCAGGCTGCTCTTTAGTTTCTCTCTTCAGCGAGCAGCAAGCTCCTTGTCCAAGGACCTCTTGAACGAGAGCAGGCAAAGAACTGCAGAGCTGCAGCGGCGGGGTGGGTGGTCTGGGGTTTTCAGTGCTGCTTCCCATCCGTCCGACATTCCTGCCAGAGCAACCAGTCTGTGACTTGGTGTTTCCCTGCCTTAGCAACCCTTCAGTAGCACAGTATTCTCTCTGTTTTTGCCTGCAGCCTGGGTTTAACCCTGCTGATCTTCTACTATTGCTTTGCCATTGTTGGCATGGAGTTCTTTGCTGGTGTGGTCTACCCGAACTGCTGCAAGTGAGTACCGCAAATCCATGCCCCTCTGCAGCGGTTTCGGTGCGCAGCCAGTAGCAGTGAGCTGTGGCAGCTCTATCTCCCTGCAGAGAAGGGGACAGAGGATGGGTCTGAACGGGGGTTTGCAGCGAAGGCAACAGGCTGCAAAAGCCTATGATACAATTCGTGTCTCTAGGTAAGGCTGGATGAAATGGCTTTTGCACTGCGTTTGGAAAGGGAGAGGTTTCTGTGGTAGGGCTGGCCAGTTTTAGTGAGCTCTATAACTTGCCTCAGGTAGCTGCACTGGGAGGGCTTCTTCATGGTACCGTGGCTGGAAACTCTTGTAACATCTGCTCTAGAGCAACGTTCAGATTTTTACTTTGGTGATGCCAGAGTTGCTTGGCCAGATGTGTTACTTGTTTAGGCCTCACTTTGTACCAAGATAAATTCACCTGGTCACGGAAGCTAAGCTGTCCTGTGCCCTTTTCATCTTAAATGATGGAGGACCACTTGGAAATGCCAGGCTTTAGGGGTCCGAGCTAAGGAGTCTAACTCAAACACTCAGTTTCTCTGGTATAATATTTGCTGAATGATTAGAAAGACTCCACGTGCTCCCCGGGCTTGTGCTGGGCTATGAAGGAGAGAGGCTTTCTTTCAGAGAAAAAGGTGAGGGTTGGCCAAGAGGTAGAAACTGCCACCCTGCTCACCACCTTCTAAGTGTTCTGGTATTTATAACCCTTGAGATTTTCCTTGCTTTTCCAGTTCTTTTCTCATTCTTTGTCCTGGTTTCTCCAACCAGCACAAGCACGGTCGCAGATTCCTACCGCTGGGTGAATCACACAGTTGGCAACAAGACGGTTGTGGAAGAAGGTTATTACTATCTCAACAACTTTGACAACATTTTGAACAGCTTTGGTAAGGGCAGTTTTGTCTGTAGCAAAGACTATTTCTTAGAGCATCTGTGTTCCCGCAGAGTGGGATGGCAGGACTGTAGTGCTCCTGTAAGCGGGGGACTCCCCCAGAGAGTCCTACTAATGCACCTCAAACGCTCAGCGTCCTGCTTGTTCTGTCCAGGGAACTCCAGCTGGCTAACTGTGCCATGACTGCTCTGCAAGGTAAGCAGAGGTCTCTTAAAAGCCAGTGTGAAGCCAGCAGATCTGTTCTGACTGGTAATCAGACCAGACTTCCAAAAGTGTTTAAGGAGGGCTTTAAGTCACTACCCTTCTCAAGAACCAATAGTGATGCTAATACATTTCTTTAAACCCACTGAGGAAGAAGAATTTGAATGTGTTGATACTCTCCATGATTTTTCTGAATGTGTGAGCAGAGACGCTTATCTCCTGGAGATGTCAGAGGTCTCCATGCTCTCTAGTGGGAAGAGTCAGGTCCGTTTCTGATTCTTTTAAGAAATATAGATTCAGCCATGCTCCTGGCTCTGTGGGTCTGACCCCCTTTGTCTGGAGTAATTGCAGTGATGAGGGTCTGCGTTCTGTCTCTGGATTTGCTGGCTGTATCGGAACTTTGGTGTCTTGCGTCAGTCTTCCCTGTCAAATACTTTGTTGGAGATAAGACTCACCGTAAAGTAGGTCAGGATGGATAAAGCAATTGTCTGTTTATTCTCCCGCTTATATACAGTCACGCTGTTTGAGCTGACGGTCGTCAATGACTGGTACATCATCATGGTGAGTAAACCTCAGCTACCTTGTGTGTCTAGACAGCACAGACTTTTTGCCAGTTGAGCTAGATCTTCCACAGCACCACTTCTTTCTTCCCCTGGTGGTTGGAAATGGGCCCAGCATTGTCACTTGTTGCTGCCAGGCATCTTTTGGTCCTGATCGTTGGGCGGCATTTGACCTTTGGCGTGCTGCTGGGCATGTTTTCTTATGCATCTTGACCAGCCTTCAGGCCAGGTTTCACAATCTGGACAAATGAAATCAGTCTGTGTTCCAGCTTGTCACCCTGCTGTCCAAGCTGTGTTCTCATAACAGCAATGGCTTTTACAGCCACAAGCTTTAAATGTTCTGTGTGTTTGCATGTAGGAACCTCTCATTTTAGCCTGAGAGGCAGATTAGCTGCAGGGACCAGCTGGGGCATTGAGCATTGTGTAGGCAGTCCCTGGGGCAAACTGTGGAGCCAGGAATAGGAGATAGATAGTGTTTATGCTGCTTTATGTCTGTTGGCAAGCAGTTAATGGCAGACGCTCCCTTCTTTTCTGCACTGCTGACTTCTTCCCTCTCCTCTTTAGGAAGGGGTGACATCCCAAACCACTCACTGGAGCCGTCTTTACTTCATGATCTTCTATATTGTGACCATGGTAGGTTTCTGGACATGCTTCGTGCATCAAATAGTGGGAATGACGAGGGGAGACAGCTTTTACTGTGTTCCAGAGGGAGCTTCCATCCCTGAATGAGAACAACTTTGCTCTGCTACATAAATGTCTTCCAGAAACAGGTGTGAGTCCACATCACTTGCAGAAAGTTGAATTTATGGGCATTGACAAAGCTGGTGCTGCACGAATGTGGACCTGGGGTCAGGACAAGGGCAGCACAAGAGTTTTGTTCCGTCCCGGTTGTGGCTGACTGCTAGCAGCTTACTCGCAAGTGGATGAGTGACATGTGCATCCCCTCGGCCGTGGAGCAACTGGGGAGAATAGGGTTGAAATGCAGACCAAATGCTCAGCAGCCTGTTGAATTGGGCTGGAAGAATCCTCCAGCAGCAGCCTCCTGAGCTCTTCTGTTCCTGTCCTCTCCCAGGTGGTGATGACAATCATCGTGGCTTTTATTCTGGATGCTTTCGTCTTCCGCATGAACTACACTCGGAAGAACCAAGATTCAGAAGGTCAGAACTGAGGACTGGTTGACCTACAACGTTGTGTCTTCTCTCCCTGGTGTCTGATGTCTGTAGGAGAGAACAGGGTTGGCCAGCAAAGACCAGATTTTTTTTTCTAGCCTGACTTCCTAAGTTCATTCTTACATTTTTGCATGATATTTCTACTTGGCCTTTCTGCTCTGCCCCTCATCTCTCCCCCAGCACTCCCCACAATGTATGTGTCTATGTATTTATGTGGGGTTTTACACACACACACACACACACGCATGCGCGCACACACACACACACACACACACACCCCCCCCTATAAACTTCAGCTACTTGAGCCGTTTCAGCCAAATTATCTGAAGATAGGAAGTCCTCATGCATTTCATGAAAGACATCTAGGAAACGTTACAGCAACGGTGTAGCAAAGCTGAACAGGAGACCTTACAGGAGGGGAAGGTGATTTTTCTTTTTAAACCAATTTCCCTTCCTCAGGAATACGCTCACTGGCACCAGAATGTGTCTCCAAGTGGCTTGTCCAGCATTCAGGCACCAAAACGCTGGATCCAGGTGGTTTGCCAGCACTCTTTGCCATGACGTGGAAACCAACGGACGCTGCCTGTCCAGTTCTTTCCACATCTCCCAGTTGTACTTGGACTGGTGACTACGTGCTGGTTTTGGACATGCCTTTCTGTACCCTTTAGCAACTGACAGGGACTGGTCTGTCCATCCCCTCGCCCCTGTGAGTCAGCACGAGTTTTACTCACTGTCCTTTGTCTCCTGAGCTGGGCATCTGAAGCTGCGTGTAACTTCATGACCTGCTGATTTGGGTGCCATAAAGACATTAATCTCTTACAGCCCTTCTCTTGTGATTCCTTCGGGTGATCTACACCCAGGCTTTTCCATTCATTCGCTGTGCAGACTAATCTTAATAATTCTTTACACTTTTCTGCAGAAAGGAGAGATACTACTGCACTCGTACATTTAATACCAGAGACTCTTCCCCGCAGAAATGTGATGAAGGCCCCAGCCACGGGAGTAGTGTTGATCAGCCCCTCATTTTCCTGAAGTGCCAGAAGATCAAATTTGTGTGGTGCAGGCTCGTAGGAGCCAGGCGCTGTTAGTTACAGAAACGCTTTTCATCGTGATCCCTCCTGCACCCAGTCTGAAGGGTGCAGCGAAAGGCACCGAACTCCTGAGCTGTGTTAGGCAGTGGAAGGTCAAAAGGCAGCAAGTCCTGTGTGATTATTTGCTTTGCTGGTTCATTTACGGGCAAGCAAAAAGCCGCAATATTTGTTTTAAGATACTGAGGAGCCTGATGTTTTGAAAAGCTGAGATGCTTGCTGGCTTTACACGCTGGTTAACTTCTTCCCTGCCTTGTTGGGGGACAAGGACATGCATATTCTAGTTGCAAAAGTAGGTACAGACTGCCCAACATCTGGCTGGGTGCTGTGTGCTGTTTGCCTTCCAGGGTTGTTGCAGCAGCTGATGAAGCAATGTTCATCTTGGAGACTTTTTTTTCCCCCCCCTCTTTCTTTTTTTTCTTGCCTCTTCAGAAGACAATGGCATTGTGCTGGAGAAGGAGATCTCCAAGGAGGAAGTGGTTGGCATAATGGAGCTGTACAGGCGGAGTTCAGCTGCCACTGAAACAGCTCAGCTGCAGAAGATCGTTTTGCAGATGGACAAATATGGGGTAAGAGGAAACGCTTACTGCAAGTTCTCAGCTGCAGGGGAGGAAGGCGTGCCGGGGCTGCAAATGCCTTTTTGCTCTCTTAAGAGAGAAGCTGTGTGTGTGTCTGCAGTGTTGAGAGCTGAGCTACTGGAGGGACGCTGCAGCATCGGCACCAAGTTTTGCTGCTCTAGGAAAGTAGCAGCCGAATTTCCCCTGCACTCTGAATTGTCGTGGCGAAGGCTCGGTACTATTGCCTGCAAACCTTGCTTAGAGCTGTGCTGGCCCAGTACTGACTGGAAAAAAAGCATATTTATTTTTCTCTGAGGAAGCCACTGTCTTCTAATTCTCCTGCCTCTCCCTCTGTGCCGTCGTACCCTTAGGCTTGGACAGTCCTGAAACATTATGCAGCAATATGATGGCATCGATTCCAAACACCAGGCTCCCGTTCTCCATGGCACTGCTTAAATTTTCATTCTAAAGCAGGATGGACAGTTGGGAAAATGAGCTGACCTGGGTGACTGCTCTTGTCTCAGAACTGTTGTCTCATGCATCTGGGAAGAGCTTAAGTGGTTGTTTTAGTAATAGCCATTATATTCTTGTATCACCACTACAAAGTGCAGGCGCTACAGTCTCTTAGGCGACCTTTATGTGCTTTGATTGGCTTGGCAGTTAAAGGCTGAGCTCTTGTTCATGCAGACAAAATTCAGAATAGCGATGATGATACTGATCAGAAGCAGTTTTCAAGATAATAAACCAAAGGAGGATGCTGCCCTCAGCCTTGCAGTGGAGTGCAGAATGATGATGTCAGATCTGAGGTTTTTTTGCTTCTCGGTCCTGTTCATATAACTCATGTGGTCAGAGAGTAATTCAGGCTTCAGCTCTCTGCTTACACAAGTTAAGAAGTCCAGGCCCGTGGAGTAAATGGTGTGGTCTGGACAAGCCAGACCTGAAATTGTTCTTAGATGAGATCTTATCTGGAAGTTTGGGTTTGAGCCTTGTTCCAGGCACTGATGTTATGTTCCGCTGACTAAACTGAGCACCGCTGACAGACGCGCCTGTCCCAGCTACGGCTCCTTCTGTAGCCTTTGGGGATCTGCTCCGCGGGATTTGTCTCAGCCTGCAGTAGATGCCTGCATTTGTTTAGGTGACGTGCACCCTAAAATGCGGTTTTCCCATGACAAGAGAAGGAGCCCGGGACAGCCTGAGCTCAGCAGTGGATGATGGGTGTCTGCATGAAGGATGACTGAAGTTCCAGGGACTGATCCTATGAGCTGTTCAGTGACTGACGAATGTCTGTCTTGTTTTTTCCTCTTCCTTCCCCTCACTCCTCAGCAAATGTCAACACTGTTTCTGGGACGCAGATCGAGGACCAAGAGTGATTTGAGTATGAAGATGTACGAGGAGGAGATACAGGTATGTGGGCTGGAGTTGGAAATACCAGCAAGCGTCTGTGGTGAGCAGAACGTTGCCTACAATAACAAACCGTCCTTTTAAACACTGGAGGCCTTTTTCCTCCGAGACCCAGGCGCTGTGTGCTCTGCGAGACGGGCGGGCAGCAGCCGGAGCGTGCTTTAGATTGGTGCCTTCTTGCACTCGGGGACTTTCTTAAAGCACAGGGCGGGTCAGAGCCTCCCCAGTGGGTCCGGTGCCCGGCTGTGCCGGCATGTGTCAGCCGGGTGACAGCAACCACGCTCGGTGAGTGCCTCAGCACTCCGGCTTGGCTGAGCTTACCGGCGCTCACCGAGGTTGGACGTGTTTGCTGGGGTGATCCGCGCAGGCGTGGTGCGTTCCTGGGGCTGGGCTGCTGAGCGCCGGTTTGTTAAGCCACTGGAATGTGATGGTGTTTGAGCTTGGGCGTATCTGTCCGACACAAACCAAGTGTTCTCCCAGGCTGTGCTGCTTGGTGCGAGCAACGCTGCCTGGTTTTGCTTCAGAATAGCAGGCTAAGATGGGAAAGCCTTAAATCAGCTGATTCTCTGGATATTTTTTTTTTTTAGAGCTTTCCTGCTAGTGCCCTGCGTGGTCAGGAGCTTTATGCACTGTAGTGCCTGCCAGACACTCACCTCCAGGTTGAAGGTCACGGGCTAATGTAATGATTAGTACTGAAAGAATTAATCTCGTAACCATTTGAATTCCATTCTTTATCCCCAAGCTAGCTGCCCAGGGGACGAGTCTTCAGTCCATCTAACAAAAATAGACATATTTGCCATGGAGCTGGGTGGAAAACTGCAGAGAAGCTCCCCGCCTGTTCCGCTTGGTCGCTTGATTCAGGGATGTAACATCCTGTAACTCCCTGGGCACTGCCCAGGACTGCGAGCAGCTCTGCAAATCCCAGACACCATGGGGACATCAGTACTGGAGTCCTAGAAATTCAGGAGGGACATCCTGAGCGAGGGATGCTTCCTTGGCCAGGTTTGTCAGTTCAGCCAACTGTAGCTGGGCCATAGCTGGTAACTTCTTGCTCGGACTGTGCGTGGCAAGGTCTCGGTGCATCCGTCGCAGCGTGCTGCAGTTAGCCAGTCATTCACACAGAATCACAGAACGTTAGGGGTTGGAAGGGACCTCTGTGGGTCATCTAGTCCAACCCTCCTGCCGAAGCAGGGTCACCTAGAGCAGGCAAGTTCCCGGAGCTTAGGCTGCATCCAGGGCTTTGGAAAGAGCCCCTCTGTGCCTGAGCAAATGTGTCCTCGCATGGCAGAGCAGCTGAGGGCTCTGTCCGTGGGGGTCCTGCTGGGGGGCTGCGAGGCCAGTGTGGGGCAGAGCCTGACCTCGGTGTGTTTGTTCTGCTGTTGCAGGAGTGGTATGAGGAGCATTCCAGAAAAGAGGAATCTCAGGTGCCGTCGCAAGAGCCTGCATCTGCTTCCAACAGCTCTCTGAAGCCCCTGAGCCTCCGACAACGCTCCCACACTGTCATTTAGGCCTAGCTAACGCAAGCCGCCTTCTATGCAATAACCTAGAGTATTACTTCACAGCGTATATATTGGGATGATGTACATAGATCCGGTGTACTGTTCGGCTTTAGGGCTTAAATCTCTTCCCCTAGGCAGCGAATTGCTGAAAAAACAGAGGCCCCGGGGACTCTGTGTAAAGCTGCTACACACAGATTGAGCATGAAGCCCGTGCTCAGCACAGAGTGAGCATCTCGGACCGAACAGAGACCTTCTCCCTCCGAGCCGCTTCCTGGGCTCGAGCTGGCTGTTTGTCTTACCACTAACAGACCTTGGGGAAGGGGACGTGTAATCCATTAACAGCAGGAAATGCGCTGAAGCCACCTGCTTCATATTAAAACTTTTGCCCTTTTTAAAGATCTGTTTTGCTTAAAGGGTACCATTTAACCTAGGAGTAAAAGATCAGGGAGTGAGTTTTTGTTTCTTCCCCACCTTCCTTATGCAAAGAAAGGGGAGGTGGTGTGAAACTTCAGCACTTTTGGAAGAGCAGTCTGCCTTTCCCCTCCTTTTTGGCACACCTAGATGCACTCCCTGCAGTAGCTCCAGCTCTGGTGGTTGAATTTAGCTGTCCCCGAGCGGTTCTGTGGCAGCTGGAGGCAAAACTGAGGGCCAGCATCTCATCGTGTTACGACCGTCGGTGGGATGGGAGTTTGGGGAGACGAACCCTGTCTCTGCTGTAGCTATCCAAGATCTGCCTCGCCGCTGGTCCGTTCTGCCCGTGGCGCTGCCTGGGATCGGGAGGGCCTTTGTAAACCCCAAAGCTCCTCTCTCTGTCCAGGGAGAGGGGGAATTCTGCAGGGTGGCGGGGGCTGTGGACCTCTGCCGCTTGGCCACCTGCTCTGTAGATGGCGAATCTCCGTCTGGTCCTTAGCTCAGACAGATGACTAGGAGGAAGAAAGGGAAGGTTTTGCAGCTCCAAGTCTGACTTATTTCTGCCTGGTGCTGGGTTGAGGAGAGCTTACAGGCATCAGACAGCACAGCCGGTCAGTCCTCAGCCAGGTCGTTGTTTTGTTCATACAGGTGCCCGCGTCCCAGTGCAGCAGTGCTGCTCCGCTCTCGCTGTCACCCTCGCGGAAACATTCCTCAGCCTGGCAAACGCTGACTGAGTTGGATCCTAGGAAGATCTGCTGAAGAGCTTCACTGTTCCCCTGATTTTTGGATGCAGGAGGAACGTGGAAGACGAGGATTCTTCTCGCCTGCCTGCTTTTCTGCAGTTGGCGAGGAGGCTGCCAGACGTGGTAGCTGAGGGATGGGAAGGAAGGGGGGAAAGGGGTCCCTTCCCAGCTCTGCCACGTTTATTCCGTGATCGTGGCAGGTTGTGTCATCGCTCGCGTTTCATTGCCTGCAATGTGAGAGCCTGTCTCTGTAAGTCCCCTATTTTCCCCTGTCAGCAAAGAAAGTGCTGAGGGCTAGAAGTTATGTGTCGGCTGGGAGGCTCCCCTCGCCTCTTGCTGTTTGATCTTTTCTCAGGGCCAGACTAGAGCTTGCTGGGGAGGCTTTCTCCTTCCTCCAGATCAACCAGGCAGTGGGAGATCTGCGTGCCCGCTCCCTTCGTCCCACCTACCTGTTTCTGCCGTGGTCGCCTCACCAGGTGGCACAAGGACAAGGGGAGAGGACTGATTCTACCCGGGCAGCTCGGGAACGTTTCCTGGGTGGATGAGACTTTCAAAATAGTGGCCAAGAGAGAGATGCTTCTGAAAATCTGCCCCCGCGCAGCATGGCGGGAGCACTGGGGCTGTGGGATGGAAGGAGCGGGTGAGCAGCTTTCCGGGCAGCGCGCGCACCAGCGCCTGCTCTCAACCCTTGCCAAATTCCCCAGGTGCCTCCGGGCAACTCTTTGTTTCCTTTCTGGGTACTGCAGGTATGAAACTACTTCGGAGCTGAACCGTGAAGGACCTTAAAGGGCTGTTTTCCAAACCATAAATTCGACCACAAATTAATGAGCAGTGCAGTTGTTGCTCTTGCAGTTGCTCTGCGTGGAGTCGCAGCCTGAGAGATTTATCCGGATTAGGCCTGGGGCTGGAGGAGGTGTTGTCTGTTCCGGTGTAAGCTGGGGGCAGGATGAACGAGCATCGTGAAGGTTAGGGGGAGAAAAAAAACAAAGGTGGCTGCGTTTAAACTCCGCGTTCCCCTACAGCCTGTTTCTCTGTGCAGGGCTGTCAGTAACTCGTTCTTTCGGGTGTTTTCTGGGGGGGGGGAAGGAGCCGTGGCTTTAAGCTGTGTTGAGGGGGGCACTGACCTGCTCGCCACGCAATAACAGGGCTCACGCGTCACGGAGCCGGGAGCGCTCGGGCTGGGGGTCAGGGCGCGGGTGCTGCTCCGCGGTTTCGTGCTGAGGTGTTGATCTGCCCCCGCATACAGCTGTATTAATTATTTCTGTGTAAACCAAGGAGGGTCGCAGAAGTTTACGTCTTCCATAGGACTGTGGAAGGAGACAGAGTTTGAGTACGGGGCATCCCCTTCTATTTATCCTCCTCTCCCCCGCCTGACATGCAGACCAATGACAGAGACAATCATTGCGTAGGGAGCGAGGGAGGAAGCGCGGCAGGATTTTGTATGCTGGGGTTTTGTTTATAAAATGGTTTTATGGACATGTCTGTAAAGATGTTCTCTGGATTTTTTTTTTTTTTTTTCCAAACACATTAATAAAAAGCATCCTCAGCTTTGTAAAGGCAGCAGCTTCCTTTCCTCCTTCCCGGGTTATTCCAGAAGCAGGGCTTTGGCAGCATTTCAAGAGGAGCGGTGCCCGCCCTCCCTCTCCACTGGCAACTGGCACGATTTTGCACGCGTGCCCTGCCGAGCTGCCTTGCATTCTTGTTCCTGGACGTGGCAAAGCCCAGCTTCCCTTCGGCCCTCCCCACTGCCAGGTTTTTCCCCTAAACAGTAGAAGAGTGCTTTCAAACTTATGGTTTTTAAAGCTACCCCAGTGCAATGTTTAAGGTTAGAAGGGGGTTTTTTGCACCTTGTATGTCTGCATTGCTCTGTTGGCCATGGTTTGGCTTGCGTTAGCCCTGCTGGGTGTA